CACACACACACACACACACACACACACACACACAAACACACACACACACACACATACACACACACACACATACACACACACACACACCTTTTTCCTTGGATATTCAAAATGTCATAAGAAAACAACTCTACCACTACCTGCCAAAACCTCTCTTGAAACTTTCACTGTACCTTTCTCAGATCTACTATGGTTCAACATCGGATTGTGTGAGAAGGTCACCAAGGAACAGTTAAACTCACTCCACATAAAGAGATGGAACACCATGAAATTGTTACAATCCAACACCACACAAGGATGTCGTTCTCCTAAAAAACACCACATATAATAACATATCATCACTTCTAACGATCGGATTGGTAAAGGCGCGAACGAAGGAAGTGCTCGCGAGTCTTTGGCACATTCATTTTGACATAATCGACGATTTGGGTAACCAACAATAAATGGTCGTTGTTTTGAAACAAACAACAAGAAGATGACTCTGTGAGAAGGTGAAAAATTCCTATGAGCGGACTGTGCAATATTTACATTAGATGGAGTCACTGTAGTGTTTTGTTCTTTGATTCATACTGTTGCACGAGTCTTATATTATTACTATTTATTAGGTTGACAAAGATAGAAACAAAATAAGCACAGGCCTCCATATTCTTTTTATAAAAACCTCATATAAGAAAAAGGTTTCAAAAAGTATTCTTTCCAAAAAATATTTTTGAAGTTTTTTTAAATTAATAAGATATATGCACATTACATAAACATACATCCAATACACTGATTCTTCTAGCAACAAAACTTCAAAAAAAGAAAGAGTATATTCTTGCTAAGGAAGTTTCTTATACAAAAACGTGATGAGAATTGAGAATTTATTCAGGAGTGAGGAATTAATTCTACGAAAGTAAATTTTGGAACATGGTTACCATCCGGACGTTCGGATCCCTATCCAATCCGCCCGCATTTGGATGTCCGACCAGATGTCTGGTCTGGTAAGTTCTGAAGAGGATATATGTATAGATATTATATATACATATATAGGGTTCAACATCCTAATGAGTCGGTGAAACTCTGACTAAACAATCTATCACAACCCTCTCCTTTGTTGTTCGTTTCTACCTCTATGCCTACGGTTTTTCCGGCAACTCTATTTGGCGATATATATATACATATATATCTGTCTTTTATATATGCATATAAGATATATATGTATACGTATATATACATATGGCGTGTGAACCGCCATTCTACAGAGTTTTCCATCTGGTGTAGGTAAGTGATAGTCTACTTTCATTTTCGTCACAGATACCTTAAGGCAGTGGTTGGTGCCCATCTTACGGTATCAACTGTTGGGCAATCATTGAAGCTTAACCACAACCGAGGTTACGATGGATTATCACTTACAGTGTAGTCAGTTAGAGGATTTTGTAGACTGTTGAGAGTTCAACCTCTTAATGAGTCCGTGAAACTCCAACGAAAGAGTTTGTCACAGCCCCTCGTTTGTTATCCTCTTCTCCCTTTCTGTCGACGGTTTACCAGGCAGTTCTGTTTGACGATATATACCACGACTTCGATAGCACCTTGCGACGACTTTCTTCGGCCAGGTTGAGTGAATGTAGTCGGGGCCGCACTACGCGGCCATGTTGTGCTTCTAGTACCAGTGGCATGTTTGGAGTGTATTTTTGACTGTGATCGACCGTTCTTTGCTTCGTGAGTGTTTTGCTGGCTTGAGGTGGGGTGTGAACCAGCAGTCTGTAGAGTTTTCCATCTGGTGTGGGTGAGATAGTC